TATTTTACTCATTTTTCTTTTGCCTTCTTAAAATGCGAAAAAGAACTTTATTTTGAGCTTATTCAACTGTCCACTTTTCGGGGGGCAACATATATTTCTCCTCTTTTTTGCAAAGCTGTCGAAAAGTCTCTTTCTCTTATTATCAAAGGAAACACCTGGCGAAAATCTGTCAAAACTCTCTCTGATTATCTCAATAAACACTCTATAGAAAAAGGCCTTCCCTTGCTTAATCAAGCACTCACCCCAATTCGGCCTTTTCTTTTTAAAAACAGTAATGAAAGCAGCAGAATTTCTAACGCTCTTCAACGAAAAGGAATTTATGTAGCGAACATTCGACCCCCAACTGTTCCTCAAAATCAAGCTCTTTTGAGAGTGTCTTTAAATATAAATCACATGACAAAAGACATCGATCATCTACTAACCTCTCTATCAAAAGCTTTGTAAAAAGGTGTATCGATGTTTATTCCAGGATGGTGCTTTCATCAGAAAATTTTTCAGGAAGTTTTTGAAAAATCCATTGTTCTAAAAACACGTCCCAAAATTTTAGTGGCTTGGTCTTTTGGAGGGCTTGAAGCGATTCAGAAGATTTCTCGATACCCAAATAAGTTTGAAGGACTTATTTTAATCAACGCCACCCCTAAATTTATGGCCTCAAAATCTTGGCCTGGCATTACACACTCTGCGCGAGACTATTTCTTAAAACGTCTTGAAGGAAATACAGAACGATTCAAGTCCTATTATCTTTCTCTGGTAGGTCAACGACAAGAATCAGAGCCCTATTTTTGCTCCCCCTTAAAGCATAAAAATGAGCTTTCTCAGCTTTTCACAACTGATGTAAGGAGAATGTTTTCCAAAATCAACATTCCCATTTTATCTATTAATGGCTCCCTTGACCCCATTGTTCCAAGCACCCTTAGCCATCACCTTCAGTCCCTTAATCAAAACATTGAAACCCTTATCCTTGCCAACGAAGGACACACCCCTTTTCTCAACAAACCCCATTTCACAGCAAAAATCATCGATAAATTTATTCAAGAAAAATGTTGAATCAAAGCTACTATAATTCCTTAGAAAAAAACGTGAAAAAAGCGTTAGAAACCTATGATTTTTATAGCCAAATCCAACAAATTGTTGGAGACACCCTTATTGCAAACCTTCCACCGCCACCACCATTTTCTTATAAGCTTTTAGACCTTGGATGTGGAAACGGTGTTGTTACAGAAAAAGTGACGGCCCATCTAAAACCGAACCACCTGGACCTTTTGGATCTATCTTCTGAGGCCTTAGAAATTGCACAGAAACGTACTTTTGATGCCAAAACACGTTTACTGTGTCAAAACTTTGATAGATCTTTTAAAAAATCAAATTATTGGGATTTTATTTTTTCTAACATGTCTGTTCAATGGAGTCGAAATCTCCCAGAACTCTTCCAAAAAATTTATCATACTCTAAACCTAAAGGTGTTTTTGCCTTTAGTCTCCCCCTTAAAACAACTTTCCATGAGCTCCAAAAGAAGAAAATTACAACAGAAAATTTTTTTACTTTTAAAGAAGTAAAACACTTTTTAGTCAAAAGCAATTTCACAGTAATACAAAGCTTTTATGATACACATATTCAGGAATTTAGCTCCCTTTATCACGGATTAAAAAGTTTAAAATTTTGCGGTGTTTCTTCTCCGAAAAGAACAGGAAAAGTCCTGTCTAAAAAAGAACTTTTTACCCCTACAACACTCACCTACGTTGTGGGGTATTACATCGCTAGAAAGTCATGACATGAGAGCATTTGTTATCGGTACAGATACAGGTGTTGGAAAAACTTATGTCACCACGCACCTTCTCAAGACTCTTCCAGAGTCCATTGGTTTAAAACCTGTTTCCTCAGGGAAAATTTTTTACCAAAATCAGTTTATCAATGAGGATGCCTTTTTGATTCAAAAAGGATCTTCACAACGTCTCTCCCTTGAGCAAATTAATCCACTTTCTTTTGATGATCCGATTGCTCCCCATATTACTGCCGAAAAATCTGGAAAATCGATTTCTGTTTTAGAACTTGTAAAACACATTAAAAATATTGAAAAAACCATTCTCCATAGAAATCTTATTATTGAAGGCGCCGGAGGGCTTATGGTTCCTTACAACGATCAAGAATCTCAAGTGACTTTAATTCAAGCGCTGAAAATTCCTGTTTTACTCTTTGTCGGATTAAAGTTAGGGTGCCTCAATCATGCAGCGCTGACTTTAAAGGTTCTACAGTTTTTTAACCTTAAAATTATAGGATGGGTCGCGAACCATGTCATGCCAGACATGAGTTACGCTCAAGAAAATTTAACGTATTTAAGAAAAATATTTCATCACATCCCTTGCTGGGGGGTTTATCCTTTTAAAAGGATTGCTTCCCCTGATGAATAACTTTGCGTGCTCCCTTCTTTATCTTCAATCAACAAATAGCCCCGGTTATCAACCCCAAGAACACGGCCTTCTTTTTTCTGAGTCAATTGCATCAATGCAACATCTTTCCCTTCTAGAAAATCAAGCGATTGCCAACGATCAAAAAATACGTTAAACCCTTTTTCATTAAACAAAGTTAAATTTCGCAAAAGAACATCGATCAAGTTTGCAGCCAAAATATTTCTTTCGAACTTTTGATCCAAAGCATAAGCTAAAGACGTCCATTCTTGATCAATGCTGATCCCTTTTTCAGGCAGCATATTAACATTAAGGCCAACCCCAATGATTGCCTGACAATGACCGTTTGCTTCTGCGCGAACATCAATTAAATTTCCTTCAACTTTAACGCCATTTAAATAAACATCATTGGGCCACTTTAGTTTTAAATCTGCTTCAATTCCTGAATCTTTTAAGGCTTCAATGATACAAATCCCAATAACAAGACTAAGCCCCGATAGATCCCCCATATCACGGTCAAAAACACGGGAAAGGCTAAACACAACATTGGCCCCAAAAGGAGAGTGCCATTGACGTCCTAAACGCCCTCGACCTTTTTCCTGAAATTCTGCAAAGCAAAAATGAGGAGGCACAGGCGGCAAATTTGAAATTAACAGGTGATCATTTGTTGATCCCAAGGACTCATAAATTTCTATAGAATAGTCCTGGCTTGATGTGTGAGCTCTAATTTTCTTTTCATCCAACAAAACCAAAGGATCCTTCAACTGATATCCCTTTGAATCCGAATTAAATTTCACTCCATACTTTTCAAGCTTTTTAGTAATCTTCCAAACGGCTGTACGGGAAATTCCCAAGTGTTTCCCTAGATCTGATCCAGAATGAACGTTCAAGTCATTTAAAATGTTTAAGGCTTCTTTAAACGTTTCAGAGCTCTGCAAAATACGAACAGACATATGATCCCTTCACTCATCGATTATAATTCTTTTTATGAGGGGTGGATAAAAAATATTCAAGAAACTGATTTTAGAGACAAAAAAACAAACGGATTCAGCCTGCTTCTTTGCCCCAAATTTTTTCTAATCGCCGATCTCTTCCACAACTAAAGCGATAAAAGTTGTAACGAATGGGATTCTTTGCATAATATTTTTGATGATAGGCCTCTGCTTCAAAAAATTCTATTGCGGGAACAATTTCTGTCTCAACTTTTTGTCCTAAAGTTTTTTCTGTTTGAATACGGGACATGCGTGCCACGTCTTTCTGGGAATCATTTAAGTAAAAAATAGCGGCCCTATACTGATCCCCTTTATCACAAAACTGACCTGTCGCATCAAAGGGATCTATATTGCGCCAAAAAACACTCAATATCTCTTTAAAAGAAATCCGCCCTGGATCATAAACCACTTTTATCGCTTCATAATGGCCAGAATTTCCTGAAGAAACGTCATCATAATTAGGGTTCTGTGTTTGCCCCCCTGTGTATCCTACAACGGTTGAAATAACGCCTTTTAAATGGTCGAAAGGCTTCTGCATACACCAGAAACATCCCCCTGCAAGAATTGCCACTTCATGCTTAAATGCCATATCTCTCCCTTTATCTTTACCGCTTTGTGCATAAGAAAACAAACCTTCACTGATAAAAAGAAAAACGCTTAAAGTTAAAAAAAGAAAAAAATTACGCACTTTCTTCTCCCTTAGGGATGAACTTTAAAGCAACCCCATTATTGCAATAGCGTTTTCCTGTAGGTTCTGGCCCATCCTCAAAAACATGGCCTTGATGACCGCCACATCGTGCACAATGGTATTCTGTACGGACGAAGAAAAGAAGCTTTCGATCTTCTTTAGTTTTAATGTGTCTTTCAATTGGTTCCCAAAAACTGGGCCAGCCTGTTCCACTATCGTACTTTGTGCGTGATTCAAAAAGCGTCAGCTCACACGCGGCACATACGAAGGTTCCTTCTCTATGTTCATGATTTAAAGGGCTGCTATGAGGAGGCTCCGTTCCTTCTTCACGCAAAATCTTATACTGTTCAGGCGTTAGGATTTTCGCCCATTCCTGATCTGGCCTTGTATCCACAATGATCTCCCCATGATCTGCATAAGATATCGAACTGATCCACAAAAAACTCAGAATAATATAGCTAATGAGCCTCATCTTTCTGCCCACCCCCAATCTGTTTCATTGTAACATCAAGTTGCCTTCATCAGTCAATATTATCGCTTAATTCTCTTTATAACTTGTTTTTTTGTCTAAAATTTCCTATTTGTCATACAAACTCCATAAAACAAAGAAGGGAAAATTAAAAATGATTAGACTCATTATTGCCTTTTTAATGACACTCTTTTTGATGTCGAAAACTCAATTAGAAGCTTCTGTTCTAGAACGTTATCATGAAGAGATGAACATTCTCAGCCAATTTAGCATTCAAGAAGGGAACACAACCCTCTCACTTTATAAAGAGGAAGAAACACCTCAATTAAGTTGGCTGGAATTTAGCCGAGGGGTTCGGAATTTTATCCACCCACATTCTGAAGTAACGATCACAGTGCAGGATTTTGATACTTATAATAATTCTCAAAAAGGAGAACTTTGGTCCTGTAGGGATTTTGCGGAAGCTTACATGGGCCTCGCAGGCAACTATCAAACAGGTAATCTTTTTCCTGATAACTTTGACTCAGAAATCCTTTATTCTGAAACAGTTAATTATTTGAAAGGCGAACTAGAGATCGATTTTAACTCACAAAATTTCAACCTTGGGTACTCATCTGATCAGTTCCTTTCTCCAGGTAATTTCTTCTTTTTACGGGGCCTGTATTGGCACGTACAAGCTTGCCATTTTGGAGAAAGCTTTGACTCTAGAAAAGATTTTACAAGGTATTGCGTAGAAAATGCTTTTCTCCCTCAAATTGAAAAAAATAATTCAGAGCAAGTAATTTTTCCTGCAAACATTCTGCTGAATGAAACCGTCTATAAAGACCGTATGAAAGGACCAAATACATCTTCTTATACGAGTTCAGAATCTCTTGGGTATACCCTAGCAAAAGGCTATAAAGAGCGTTGCTTATGGGAGAAGGCGGATGAAGTTTATGGACGGCTCCGTCGAGGTTGGGGACGATTTCATGCAACCCCTCCAGCATACTATTTCTGGGGCGCCCTTGTTAAATGCTTTAAGTGGGTTGATAAGTATGGTCCTCACTCAGATCCAGAGTGGGGATACTACTAAGTTCAAGAAAAGTGTGAGCCCTTTTAAACAAACTTGGCCTCTGGAAGAGTGCTCAGTGAGGGGATAAGTTTTATAAATTTTTGTCCCCTTATATAGTTA